GAACAAGAATGGACAGGCGCAATCTATCCTGAACGTGTATGAAATAAGCCTGTTCAAGGCCAAGGGACCGAGACCCTCTGAGGGTCTGCAGATAAACCAATCCCTCCTCCCGGTCTGCAGTACCTACTAGAAAGGCGAGGTCAGAAATGTGACTGGGAAAAACAATGGGCTGGCGTTTCCCAACATAGAGAAAGGGGGTGGGGGGATCACCGCAGAAGAAGATACTTCAAAGAACGAACTTAGGGGCGCCTGGGTGGCTCAGTAGGTTGAGCATCCGACTTTGACTCAGGTCATGATCTCACAGTTCATGAGTTCAAGCCCCACATCAGGCTCTGCACTGACATTGTGGTGCCTGCTTCGAATTCTGTCTCCCTCTCTCTGCCCCTCACCCGCTCGCACTGTTTCCCTCTCAAAAATAAATAAACTTAAAAAAAAATTTTTTTTAATGAATTCAACGTAGACCCTAATATAGTCCTCCAGAACCACCCCCCCCACCCATCGCCACAGGATGGGTGTCGTCAAGGGATACAATCAAGACCGCAAGACAAACCACACCTGAATTCACAATTTAAAAAGCAGATTATGTGGGACTCAGTAGCCAGTGGCTGGCTGCTCTCTCAGCGTGTGGTGGGGATTCTAAGTCACTACGGAAGAGGAGCCAGAAAGTTAAGATCTAAAGGCAATCAATCCTGCCAGGCCCTGGAGACATCAGGCAGTGGAGGGGGAGGAAGGACGAAGCTTCCTTTGGTGTGGTTCCCTTCTATTCCGTATCCTTCGTGGGCATGTCTGCCTGGGGCTGGTGAATTAACCTCTTTCCATCAGCACACTTTTTCAGCTGTCTGAACCACTGCTTCCTGCACAATGGATCTGAATCAACTGCACAGTCGATCTGATCTCTCATTAAAATAGGCTGAAAATAGTGAAACGGACTTTTTCCTCTACCTGTGTCTTGGCAGCCTAGCACTGTGGGTAGGCTCTTCCCAAGGAATGTGCTCAGAGCCTGGGGTGCGGCTGTGGGTGGGGAAGGGGGACTGATGTGCACGCCTCCTGGGCTGGGGTGGGGGGCGCCGGAGAGGGCAAAAGACAGCCAGCAACATGCCGGGCGGAACCCTCAAAGTGCCGGGTTTTTGCAAAGTAGTTGCGTGGCAGACATGTTAAAATCAAGAATGAACTGGGGCATCTGGGTGGCTCAGCCGGTTGAGCGTCTGACTTCTGCTCGGGTCATGATCTCAAGAGTTCATGGGTTCGGGCCCCTCGACAGGCCCCGTGCTGACAGCTCGGAGCCTGGAACCTGCTTCGGGTTTTGTGTCTCCCTCTCTCTCTCTGCCCCTCCCCTGCTCATGCTCTGTCTCTCTCTGTGTCTCAAAGGTAAATAAACATTGAAAGAAAAAAATTAAAATAAAGAAACATTAAAAAAAAATTTTTTTTTTAAGAATGAGTTCTGCTGGCCTCATGTGTCCAAGGTCACACACACCTTAGAGGTTTATACGTTCTGTGGTTATAAACAGAGCTGGCCCCCAGCAGGTGAGTGGGACTTGTCCGTGGAACGAAGGAATACACGTTGTGTCCACTTCTCACCCCATTACCTTCCCTAACCCCTCTTCCATGAGCCTTCCTGAACCCTTCCCCAATTTCACTGCTTTCCCCCGCAGAAACAGAAAACATTAAAGGGGGGCCTTCCATCCAAGGCAAGATTTTCTTTTTCCTGTCCTTGCAACTGCTCTGTTTGAAGTAAAACATAATAAAATAAAAAAAGTTGACTCTCTGTTTAGATCGACTCGTTAGAATGAGCTCACAGTGCTTCCAAAAATGGGGGTGTTTGGGGGTGTGACTTTGCTCATCTATCAGAATCACCGGAGAGCTGAGAGTTTCCCCTACAGACGCTGACTTCTACAGAAACAGGATGGCCAGGTCTAATCACTTCTGGAAAAGACTAAATCTGCTTTTCCCCTCGGGGGCCGGAGCAGTGAAAGCAAGCCCTGTTCTGAGGAATGTGTACCCTGGGCAGGCGGAGGGCTGGCCAGCCCCCGGGGCCACCAGGAGGAGGCAGATGGCTGATCTCAGGGCTGCAGCCTCCCTTCTCTCCTCCCTCTCACCCCTTCCGACCCTGCCACCAACACCCCTTTCAAGGAGGCGGTTCTGCTCCCTGGGCCCCAGCCCCTGCCGGCCCAGCTAGCCATCTACCAGAGAGAGGATCACGCCCTGGAACAAATTCTTTGCCTTTTTCAGAAACGGAAACGTCTCTGCTGAACTATTTCAAGGCACATGGAACCAGACGCGCACGTCCCGCTTCCTCCGCTGACCTTTGAAGAGCGAGCCTCCTTCCTCCTCCCCGCTCTGCCCTGGGGGGATAACTCACTACGGTGGGGATATTGATCCCTTCCCTTTTCCCTACCCTGGTTCCCAACAAGACCAGCTGCGTGAAAAACTCCCCAGGATGGCATGCGGTGACCTCTTAAAGTGTGAGCAAAGTGAAGCAACTCATGGGAACACACCCAGGAGTCGGGGAGGAGCAACCTTCAATGTGCACACTCACCCTGACACGCCTGGTGTGTGTGTGGGGGGGGAGGGGCGGGGGGCGGAGATGGGATGCTGTTGTGCCTGAGTCACCCAGGGCCAGACACGGAGTTTCCCCCCTGCTGCCCAAGGTCACTCACGGAATGTCCTCGATGAGTAGCTCATGCTCCGTCCCCTTCCCCCAAACACAGAGACAGGCATCATCCCCTACTTAACAAGCATCAGTATGGTGGTTTCCAAAGCCTTGAGCAGGCAACATTGCAGCTGCTGGAAGAGGTGCTGTGAACTGAATAAAATCAGGAGGTGAATTTGAGGCAGAAACGTCCCCTATTTACATAATGGTCTGAGGCTGAATTCAGCTCCCTTACCCTGGTCACCTGCCTTCCGCGACCCCAGAGACAAACTGCTCTAATCGCATCACCAGTCACAGGGCCATCCACCCACACACAGACCAGCACCCTAGTTTGGGGTTGGGGAAGGGGGTCGGTGGGATGCGGAGGGGAAAAATCACCGAGAGGGACAGGGACATCTCCAGGGTCACAGGCCTGCAGAACACAGGCCAGCGCCAGCATCCAAAGGCCGTCAGCATCCTCCCAGGTCATGATGACTCAATTCAGGTCATCAAGGTCAGGGCAGGGGAAGGCTCCGTCTAAGAGAGCACAGAACAAAGGCTCAGAGAAGAAAGAAACCCAAAGAAAGGTCTGTGGGCACCAGCCAGCAGGAGGCCACAGCCATAGTGGGAAGGCGGCGTGAGAGGCCAGGAGCCCAGGAGAAAGGTGAAGAGGCCTGAAGGCACAGAGAGGGGGACGATTTGGACCAGGACCACCTGCTTCACAGGCAATTCCTTCTCTGCTTTCCAAGAGGAGCCAAGAGCGAGAATCCAAAGGGGACACTGGCTGACTACACATCATTGTCTCAATCCCTCCATCAGCCCCCAGGACCAGCCAGGCACAGACTCACTACCTGGAAGAGAAGATGGGGTGCAATGGGGGGGGTCAGTGGCACCTTGGGGTGACGAGTGAGGATTACGAACGGTTTTGGAAGCACCCAGTCCTGATACCCAAGAATGTCACTGTGTAAGTACCCAAACTTCGTGCGTCTGACTCCATAAAACCTGCCAGGGAACATCATCTTTTCTCAACAGCTTTAAAGGAAGAAAAAAAAAAAAAAATCATGCCCAGAAATTTCTATCCTCCTTTCTCTCTCTTCATCAAGGTACCGATGATTTACGTCCACAGCAGCAAGGGAAGGAGGTTTCCAGGCCAGAAGGTTAACCAGCAGAGTGTAGAGATGAGCTTCAGGTATATGGCTCAGGGTGGGGACCGGCTAGGCAAACTCAGAAAGAGGACGGGTCAGCGGGAGGGGGGGGTCCCAGTTACCAGCCGGTGCCCGCACCATGTGCCAAAACCGGAGGCAGGTCCTGGGGCACGGTTTGTTTCCCCGAAAGACTCTGCTGAACCAAGTCTGGTCATTCATTCATCACCACCACCAGGGGACTGGAAACAGAGCTAACTCTGCCTCCCCTGGGTGCATCGGTCCCCGAGTGGTGAAGACAGTCTGGTTTCCCGTTCTTTGGGCTCCGACCTCCCAAAGGACTCACTGGGGGCTAGGGTGGTGGGGTGGGAGGCAGTCAGGGTAGGACCAGGCACTAGCATATTCTGTGCTCTTGGCGTAAGTTTTGGTAGGAGGCTTCCCCCACCGCCCCCCTAACGTAAGCTGGAAACGCTGCCCACCAGGTTTAGCACAGCAAGAATGTTCACTCGGAGAGTTCTGCCTACAGGGTTTGAAAGAACAAGTCCTCCAATCTCCGCAAGAAAAAGAGCATCCCATTTGGACAGGATGTAATGAAGAGAGACCATCTGCCCTTGGTCCACTCAGAACGGATAGATAGATCTTTACCCCTTCTCACCCGGGGGGAAAACATCCTTTCCAGATCACCCCCAGCTCTCACACCCAGAGAACATGCGATTTATACTAAATCGCTTGGTACTCTCTCCTGTCAGCTGCCGGCATTGTTCAGAACCCTAGACCGAAAGACGCTGTGCTGGTTCCACTCAGAAAACCGAATGCAAGAGAAACCTATGCCAAAGTGCCCACTTGCCTGGAAAACTGAACCCTGGACCGCCACCGCCGCCCCCCTCCCCCGGTCCCGCCCGGCCATCCAGAATTCTACAATTGGTAAAATTCTTAAACTCCAACTCCACGAGTTCCACGGCTCCTTACTCTGCCCCTGCCACCAAAGCATGCATTCTGGGTTCTGCAGAAATGGGGAAAAAAGGAAAGAGGGCTGTGATTTATCGCATGTCAGGGGAGCAAGGGAGAAGCTGGGTTTCGGAGAGCCAGAGAGCTGTGGTGGTGACGCCGCCGCCGCCGCCGCCGCCGCGGCCGAGGGTGAATGAAGAAGGGCCGGGCCGGGGGGGACGCGCGACAGGAGGGAGGGGCGAGGCGAGGCGGCGGGAGGCTCGGGGAGCGGGACCTCTCACCTGTGGATGTTCATCTCCCGCGGAGGGCGGTGGGCCTTGTCGTAGGACACCTTGGCGAAGACGCCGGCCACGATGACGAAGGCGATGACCCCGCAGGTGATGTACACGGTGAAGT